TTCAAATTGTATTTTAATTAAAAGTAAAATGAAATGAAAAAAGTTAAATCAACGCTTGAGAGACGTTGAAAATGTGTTACAACAATCCCCAAACGTTATTGATGAAGAGAAACACCTGATAGCCTAGTCATATTCTTCAAGGCTATCTAATAACAATGCTTCTACTATCACTCGCAACAGGTTTAAAGGTCACATGACACTAGTTTACGCAAGATTGATTTTCATGCTTAAAATGTCCGAAAGAGTGGGCTTTAGCGGTTGGGATACCCTCGCACCCCTGTCTTGTAATTTCAAAGACGGAAATCCCTGGCCAGTGAGTCAGGCGCGTGGGTGTAACGCGGGGATTCCGTGGCTCTCGCTCAGCAATCTGACTATAGATACATGCAGAGAACCTATTAACTCAAGAAAACAAAACTTAGGTTGGACTTTATTCCTAGACACTTGGCATATTCCACATGACATTTAGGCTACCAGTATTAGAAAGGCGTGCTTTAAATTTGACTGGTATATTTTCTTTAGGCTAGGCCCTACCATTTTCACAAGCTTTTCTCTGTAAAAATGAGACCCACACCCAATAAAAACGGGAAATGAAAGTCGAACAGGGAGGAGTAATTTATCAAGGGGTTTGTCCAAATAGCTGTAAAAAATGAAGTGACAGTAGCTACTCTATGTTGTTGGGGGATCCTTTATTCAAATTAGTTAGCCTAAATCTATTTTAAACGGTCATACATCACTGGACTGACGTCATGTAAACAGCAAAAGATATGCCATATGTTGTTTCCAGCAAAATTATTGTATTTAATAGCCTTTGTGTATTTAGTTAAATTAGCCTACTTATTAAACGCTTATGTCAATTTATTATAGAGGTCCTAATACAACCCGAACACTGGCACTTGTCTCTCGTCTTACACTCACACACACTAAAGATACAAAAGCTGTCATTGGGTCGGCATCTTTAAAAAAAATGAAAGCCTGAAAGGGTACTGGTGACAGCTTTTGTACTTTTTTTCCTGAAGCATTTGGCTATTTTTCTTTTTTACTCCACCATTTCATAAAGCCAACTTATATTCCCCATCACTTTGTGCTGTAAAAATTCTGTCAATAAACAAAAAGGTCTTACTTACATTTCTGAAAGTGCATGTCAGAATCCCTTTTGCTGTCTTTAATTCTCGGCTCCCACGCCAGGTGAAATGAATGATGCCAGACGCAGAGCAGCCTCTGATAAATGTCAACTCCTCCAGTCACTGCCTGTTATTAACTGATTCCGACACGTTCCACTATGTATACAGAGAGCACGTTGTATTCTGCCAGCCCATTTTTTTGCAGCTCCACCCACTGCTGATGACGAGCTGTCAAACACATTGGAGGAAGGTTGGTCGGTTTGCTTCTGACAGCAGCAGTAAGGGTTTCTCTCTCTCTCTCTCTCTCTCTCTCTCTCTCTCTCTCTCTCTCTCTCTCTATTTTGCATATCTGGTCAGTGACAAATAAGGATGTCTGAGATGATAACAAGAAGAAATATTGTAGAAATTTTAGTTTAAAACGCATTTGTTTTTGTAATTGTCATCTTTGTTTCATGTTTTTGGTTTGATTTCATACATTTTTGAGAAACATTTCTTGTACTAAAATATTTTCCAAGTACCTTTAATATATACAACCTAATAAAGATTAGGTGTTAGTTATAACTTTAAATCTTATAATATATTAAATATAGGCTTATAGAATTAGAAAATAACCTCATAATTTCAACCTCACCATAAAAAAGTGTATTTAAGTAATCGCTGTTGATTTCATCACTGTAGGAAATATATTTAATATAATAATTAATATTAATAAAATATAGACAGTGCTTCTGTGTAGTTAGTTTTTTTCTGTGTAGTTGATGACTACCCCCCCCACAAAAACTTTGATCTGCTAATTTGCCTCAGAGATGTTAACCATTATGTCCATTTCCTCCATTCTCACCATGACACCAAAAATGTCTTCTGTTTCTTCTTGCTCCTCCTCCACCAACTCAATCTCCACCCACTCATCCTCTCGCAGCTGCAAAAAAGTGGAGAACTTTAAATGCCTAAGCTCGACTGCTGTTCACTTTGTAGTGGTCTTACAGTTATTTGGTGTGTAATGAGAAAAGCACTCTTTAAATAAACATGATGATAAGCATGATAAGTCCACACTTAGTACATTTTGAAGTAGTACTTTAAAAATCTGATCTGAGATGTCTGAGATGTGCATTACATGCGGCATTGCCACTCCATACTTGTTTGTTCATGTAGTAACATACTTTTGACTAACCTCAGTGTGAACCAGCTAGCTGTAGATCTTCAAGAGCAAGATTTAGAGCCCCTCCATTATGGGTCCTTAAAAATGTAAACAACATAAGGCGGGTATTACAGCTCAGTTTTTTACATTCTAAAAGGGGAGTGGAATTCAAGTAGTCTATAATTAGACTGAGGCAGTGTCTCCTGGTTTGTGAACAGAACTTCTGTCTTCATGGCTCCATCTAGTGGCCAAAAATATTACATACATGTATACATGCAGTGTTGAGGTAAATTCATGTGCTCCATAATGTGGCATAAACAACATTTCATTGCATCATTACATCATCTACAAATTAAAAACAACATCAACAACAAATGAGATTTTATAATTTTATAAAAATATATTATATAAATAAATAAACCAAGCTGAGATCAACCCTATGGATTCACTGTTGGATATTTATGTATTCATACAGAAAGTCTGACAAGTCTTTTCAGTAAATATGTGAATTTAAAGTAATGATGTTCTAATTCAGTGTTTTAACTGATCATATCACATGCTCAACAGAAACACAGATACTGTAGAATAGGCAGATAAACATGAACATCATATTCTTGTTCATGACCACATACATATGCTAGACACAATATTCATTAGGCTACCTTCTTTATAGATTTCCTAGTAACCTAGACTTTATAGATTTCCAGAGAGCAGTTAGAACCCAGATTCAGCCTCAAATGTAGCTCTTGTCCTTTGTTTGTTTCGTTCTTTCGTTCTCTTTCTTTCTTTCTTTCTTTCTTTCTTTCTATCTAATGTTTTGAATGTAATAAAGGGGCATCTATCACTATAGATTAATTCCTATATACAAACTACTATAGTGATTATATAATGACTAAGTCACTCAATGAATTGCATCATAATTCAGTCTATTACAATTGTTACGTCATAATTTACTGGCAAAGTTTAGCAGCCATGACAGTAATAGTCAGACAGAAACATGACAATAGAAATACGTCAGAGGTGTCAGTCTGTCACCTCTGTACCATTTGTGAGTGTGACACTCACAAATGGAAATATTCTATATCTGGAAATATTTTGTCTAGTTTTTTTGGACAGTTCTGTTCTACACACAGAGACATACACGCACGCACACACACACATATGGTAGACGGTTGTTATGGTACATCCCTGTAAGGTACAGAATTTGGGTATAAAGAAATTAGGAATGCAGTCACATGATTCATATCCCGGAAATACACTGCTGTCGATGGGGGGAAATGGCGTTATGAGCAGCTCCAGACTTTAAGAGAAGTGGGGCAGTAACGTTAGCGTCAAGAGACAACAATCACTAACCCGCGGTTCTCGGCTTACCAAATGAAAGAAACGCCCAACCTTACATTAATCATAAATGTGTATTAATACAGTTGCACACTCGATTATGTAAGGGCGCTCCAGATGGACAAAGACAGACTCGCAGTGAGTACATGCCAAAATAAACACGAGGAAGTAGCCTTAAAAGGGGCGTGTAATGTGTTTCATGGCTTGAAGAAATAAAGGCGACAAAAATGCAGACGGAAGCATTTTATTGGCGTACCTGTATTTAACAGCACAGCGATGCGGATCGATGGAAATGTTTTGTTATTTAGTAAGATGTATCGCTTGATGTCGTACGCTTGCTTGTATCGCATCTTGTTACGCGTACCTAAAGGTGTCATTTTCTCATGATGCGATTTATTCTATGACCTCCGTTATCCTATCGCTTTAAGGCTATTTATTTACTTTAATATTTAACAAATATTAAAGAAATAATTTAACAAAATGTGCATATGCAGCAATGTGACATTGATATATTTAAACATGATATGATATATTATCTTAAATAAAATTATATTACAGTATTTACAACTAATTTTATTTATTTAATACGAATATTATTTAATGCAGGCTGGTCCATGCTCATGGCTGGATATGCATAATTTTATTGGTGACCTTATGGCTGCAAATGCTTCAGTCACTGGTCATCCACTGAGAGACCAACATACTGAGGAGACACAGAGTTCTGCTTGGCCCACAGTCTCTCATCCTCCCCAGTCTACCCCATCCAGACAGAGCCAGGTGAAAAGTGCTGTTCGGTTTGGTTTGCAGGAAAGGGAAAGGGAACCCAGAGGTCATGAAAGCCATGGTGAGTAAATATTACAATAGACTGTAAGGGTACTGTGCCGCTGTGTTATAAATACACTTTCTCATGCAAAAGGATTGGGAAACATGCATAATTTATTGATTCAAAGGTTGTAACAGCTCCAATTCTTTTAGTACTTCAGAGGCATTTACTTATTGCATTAACTGGCCTCAGCAGCATGTTGCTAAATGAGGAGATCATTTTAGATTTCAACAGAGATACAGCAAATAAAAATACATTTAATACATATTAAAATACATTAATAAATTAGTCTTGCTGCAAAAGTTGAGTTCACAGGCTTTCTACTGCAGATCAGACACTCTATATGCAATCTAGTCATGTGTCCTATAACTATATATTAAGGAAGAGATCATAATAATTGGAGTCATCAGGTCATTATCACAAATTAAACCCAGACAGGGTGATTAGAACCTGAGTATTTTATACGAAACATAGGTTTTAAGGAAATAGATAAGCAGTCAGTTATACAGTAATAACAGTCATTATTTAGAAATATTTGATAGCTGAACCTAGCTAAATAGAATAGAAGTATTCCAGAGAGCCATACAATAAATAAAAATACTAAAATGATTTTAATAATAATTTTCATCTATTTTTATAAAATGCCACTTAATGTGCCAAAGCTCATAATATGTATCTTTAACTACTTCTTGAACCAGTGCAGATATTGAAGTACATGTTCGTCTGAATAACAACCGGTTCTCGGTTTCCAACCCTGCCAGGAAATAGTTTAATATTAAGTTTTATCATGTTTATCCATCTTATACTCACTGCCTCATTGATTTATATCTTTTGTAGTTCAGCATCGTGCCTGCACATGTCCTGGCTGCCCTCTTTCCTCATCTCCTTCTAGTTCCTCAGTCCACACCTTAAAACCCAGAACCAGCCCGGCCTCCCAGATCCAACCACCTTCATCCCCACAATCCACCCCACCGCAGCAGACTAAAGAGCCCAGTGCTGCCCCTGTCGGCCTAGGCTTGTGTCTAGGTTTGGGACTCTCTCTGGAAGAGGAAAACACCGAGCCCAGCAGCACATCTGGTCACCCCCAACAAGAGGACAAAGGCACTAGCACCCACAGCCCAATCCCTCAGGCAAATCCCGAGTCCCCACCAGTTCAGGCCTTTCCGTGTCTATGCTGCCACCGTGGGTTTCAAACCTGTAGCCAACTTCTAAGCCAACAAAAGGACTCAGAGGCACACATTGCCCATCACCACTATCATCACCACCACCATCACTGCCCGCTCACCACCTGCACGTCATGTACGCTCCCGTCGTTCCCTTGCCTATCCTGCCAGCGCACCTTCCCCACCTGTGCCCAGCTCCTTCGCCATCAGCAGGGCCACGCGCAACAGGAAGGGTTGCAGCAGCACCCATGCATGCACTGCAATGCCTCTTTCCTCCGGCCATCGCAACTGCTGCAGCACCAGCGAACCCAGCATGCGTCCAAAACCGGTGGCTTCCTGTGCGCCGAGTGCGGCCGTGCATTCAACTCGCACAGCAATCTGCGCATCCACCTCAACGTACACACAGGTGCCCGTCCATACAGCTGCTCCGACTGCGGCAAGAGCTTTAGCCAGTCTGGGGCGCTGAAGATTCACCGCCGAATTCACACCGGAGAAAGACCGTACACCTGCACTTATTGCGGACGGGGTTTTCCTCACTTAGCTGGGGTGAGAGCGCATCAGCGAATTCACACGGGGGAGAAACCGTACCACTGCGGTCAGTGTGGGAAGTG